ATATATATATATATATATATATATATATATATATATATATATATATATATATATATATATATATATATATATATATAAAGAAAAAAAAAAGAGAGAAGGCAGCTCGCGAGCCGGCTCACGAGCTGCCGAACAACTAATTTTAGGCTCGAGCTCGAGTTCGAGCTTTTTTCGAGCCGGCTCGTCGAGTTCGCGAGCCGGCTCGGCTCGTTTACCACCCCTAATCTAGTTTTACATTATTAAATTAGGGTGAAGATTGAAATGGAGGTTTCTTATCCCACCTATATATTCGGATCGAATTTTTATTTTATTTTGAAAAAATGTTTTCATTTGAATTCCGAAAATCTTGATTTTGAAAGCAATATTTCATTTTTTAAAATAATGTTTCAATTGTTTAAAGAATATTTCTCAAAATAATTTAAAACAATATATATCGATTTTGTTTTTTGGAATTTATATAATTTCGAATTTCAATCAAGTTTTAATTGTGAAAAATCTGTTTTAACAAGATGCAATGCGTGTTGTTGAAAGTCCATTTTCATGTAGTGTTGTAAATTGAAGGCATGTGAGAGGCACATGCCATTTTCCATCCAACTTAACGGCAAAAATTAACGGCGGACCAATTCTGTCAAAAAATGGTATTGTAACTCCAAAATGTTTAGGGACAATTTTGAAAAAGTGGGTAAAGTATGAGGACGGAAAATGTAATTTTCCCCAGTGATGCAATCGCCCCTTCCGCACCAGACCTAGGCGAGTCGAGGTCCGCCGCGCCGCCGAACAAAGCTTTTCCAGAATTGCCGCGCCACAGTTGGTTGCAGAAACATATTAATACATCACTAGAAGTGAAAATGAGATATTATATTTAAGATTTCTTTAAGCGTTGCAATTCGGAGTTTTTATTTAAATTTAAATTTGAATTTATTTTCTATGGAAAACGTTTCTATTTTTTATTATTGTCAGAAACATTCCCGAAACTTTTAAATATTTATGGAAATGGCCCCAAAACGTATCCGAAAGGTGTCATGAAGTTTCGCTTTCCGAAACGTTTCCGGAACATGGAAACGCGTGTGGATTGAAGTTTTCGTGCATCATAGATGGGTATAGTTATTTATATAAATCTATGATTGAAAATCACATATATATATATCATCAAGTGTAGTATCTCAATTCTCACGGGTTGTCCTAAAAATTATTAAAACATTTGTATCAACATTGAACCCCCTTCCAGCAAAATGCAAATATCGCCGGACATTAATATGACTGAACAAATTAAAACTCAATAAATAAAACGGTAAGTTTCACTTTTCCCCTTTTGCTTTGGATTGATATTACTTTACCTTCTTCTACTCTCGATTACATCGATTTGTCCATGTACTTGAAAAATTGCCTCAATGTGGCCATCGTTGTTAGTTTTTAGACTTTTTACCGCCCTTAACTCCGTTTGATCTAAGTTTAAAAATTACAAAAAAGTCACCCCTCCCAGTTTCAATAATTATTAAAAAAAAATAATAGTAATTAGTGGCTGTCATCGTCGACTATGTTTTCTCGTTGTCTTGAACTTTTTATTATTTTTTTTTTTGTTTTTTTTAATAGTTATTTAAACTAGGAGAGATGGTGTTTTGCTAATTTCAGAGCTTAGATCAAACAGTGTTAAAGTCAAATGTCTGACAACTAACAACAAGGGCTACATTGAGACATTTTTTCAAGTGCAGGAACACTAATGGACGCAATCGAGAGTAGGAAGGGTAAAGTGATACCGAAATAAAATAAAGGGGGAAAATGGAATTTAAATAAAAAAATAAAAACAAAAACAAAAAATAGTGCCCAGCACTGCAGTTCATCCAAGTATTATGGCCAACAACACATGCTCTCATAATACTTGGGCTTCAGCAGGAGCTGCCACCTATCACCCATAAACTAGCACAAGCCACGTGTCCCTTACACCCGGCACCCGATCCGGATCCTAATACATTCATTAATACAGCGCAATCCACTTCCTCTGTATTATTAATAACACCAATTTATCGTATCTTCAGAAAAAAGCAAAAAAAAGAAAATTAAAGCACCGAATAAAAATAAATGGCATTGGAATGGGTAGTTCTAAGCTACGTCGCGGCAGCTGAGGCTACGATGGTCCTGCTACTGACTCTGCCGCCGACTCTAAATCCTCTGCGGAAGGGTGTAATCTCCGTCACACGGAATTTACTGAAGCCGTTTCTCTCGGTGGTGCCCTTCTGCCTCTTCTTGCTGCTCGACATTTACTGGAAGTACGAAACTCGGCCGAGTTGCAAATCGTCCGTGTCGTGCACGCCGTCCGAGCTGATGCGCCACCAGAAATCCGCTATCAAGTCCCAGCGGAACGGCCTCCTCATCGCGGCGGCGCTCATGCTCTACTGGATGCTTTTCGCGGTCACGCGTTTGGCTGTGCAGGAGGAGCGGTTGAGTGAGCGAGTCGTGCGGCTCCAGAACCAGGACTGACTCGGTTCACAAAATTTCTTAACGGAATTTGTATTAAGTTTTTTTTTATTTTTTTCATCAGGGCCTTTTGTTTTTACATTGTGTACTTGGCTTGGTTATGGATATTATAATTCTGATTTCACCATATTATATATAATATTGGATTCAAGATAACTAATAGGGACATAAGTACATAATGAGTTTATTCAGCATTTACATGCTTAAAGTTTGACTGATCATAAACTAGTCGGTAAATCATTAATCCAGTGTTATAACAAACCTGCACCGAATTTCTTTATATTCTTTTTATCATAAAATTGCACTAAGTCTCTCTAATCATTTGCAAACACCACCTAAGTCAAATACATCTCGACATCAGAGACTTATAAAGGTATTTTAAGATATCTCAAGGGTGTGGGTGTAATTTAACCATTATTTTTAAAATATAAAATTAAAAAATAATATTGGAGATGGAAAAATTAGGATATGTCAAAAAATCAATCCGCTAGCTACTATAAGGTATCTGTTCTATTTAAAATTTGGTACTGAAACTGTTGGCTTTGGTAATAGTTTTGGTAAAGAAATGCAAATCGTCATGATTTTGAAATGGTTTTATAGTTCTTATTTTGGTTATGGGTACCCGATTATTTTATATGTCTATATATATATTATAAATAACCCATCAATACGTATTTATTCATAAAGAGATTAGACAAAAAATTCATTTAATTATCAATAAGTTCACACATGGTTCAGATTTTTGTAAAATACTAAAATATCCCCTCATACTTTAATATGTTCCAATTTCATCTTTAACTTAATTTGACCCCAAATTTCTCAAATTATTCAATTTCGACTCAAAACTTTTTTTTTTCAAATTTTTACTTTTGCCGCCGGATTGCAGCGTCGACTTTTTTTTTTCTTCGGATTTTTTCACCGGTTTTCGGCGGTCAACGCCGGTCTCCGGCGTTGACTTTTTCGATTTTTTTTCTTGTTTCTGTAACATTTTTTTTTCGTTTAAACAGCAATATTGCTGCGATTGGCAGTAATATTAACTATATTACTGTTAAACGCAGTAAAATTAACTAAACTACAGTTTAACACAGTAATATTACTATATTAATCTCTAGCACAGTAATATTAACACAACAAAACTCATTATTATTGTGTAATAGAGTAATATTACTATGTTGACCGTTCAACAAATGTAAACATAATAAAAAGCCAAAAGAATTAATATTACTATGAGTGAATATAATATTATTATAACAATAGTAATATTACTGTCAACCACAGTAATATTATAGACTGTAATATTATTACATTACTCCGTGAATAACTTAAACAAATAAAAAAATCCAAACAAAATAATAATATTGATGTCATTGACATCAAGATTACTATAACAACAGTAATATTACCGTCAACCACAGTAATATTATTGTGTTTACAGTAATATTACAATAATAGACAGTAATATTATTACGTTACTCCGTGAATAACTCAAACAAAACAAAAAACCCAAAAAAATAATAATATTGATGTTGTTGACAGTAATATTATTGTATTTATAGTAATTTTACTATCAACGAAAGTAATATAATTACGTTGACTTGTCAACAAATCAAATTAAATAAAAAAAATAACAAAAAATAAAAAATAATAATATTACGTTAATTTACTGTCAACGGCAGAACAATTACATAAATGTATTGTCAACGGCAGTACAATTACGTTAATTTACTGTCAGTGACAGCACAATTACGGTCAACGTTTAGCGGCGGACGTAAAAAAACAAACAAAAAAAAAAAAAAAAAACCTTAAAAAACACTAAAAAAGGTCAACGCCGAAAACCGGCGAAAAAATCCGGAAGGAAAAAAAATCGAAAAGTCAACGCTGGAATCCGGCGTCAAAATTTTTTTTTTTTTTGAAAAAAAAAGTCAAAATTGGATTTTTGTGGTCAAAATTGGAAATTGTGGACAAAATTGATTAAATTGAGGTTACAATTAAGAATTGAGTATAAATAGTTGGGGGTACTTTCCTTTATTTATAATAAATGGATGAGCTTATTGGTGAAGGAGAAATAAAAATGCATGTTGGATGAGCTTAATTCACAACTAGTATAAATACCTCCCACTATTGATCTTCACTTCATATCGACCACTTCAAGTAATTTAATATTTAGGTGGTGTTTGCAAATGATTATTTAAAAGCAGAAGTTAGTGATTGTGATTTAAGTTAGTTTTAAGTGCTTATTTCTAAAAGTTGGGGGTGTTTGCAAATATTTCGGAAAATGAACTAAAATTGAAAAAGCAGGGTTATGAGTGCTTTTAAAAAAATAGCTTAGAGCAGATTATTTTAAGAGAAGCAAAAGCAAAAGTTGATTTTGCAAACACCTAAAAACAGATTATAAGCAAAAAAAACCGCATAATCACTTTCAAAAAGCATTTGCAAACACCACCTTAATAGTCATCGATTAATTAATTGATTATCTCAACTACACCACAAAAATGAAGGGAGTTGCAGTGGTTTTCGTGGTGGTTCTGGTGGTGGTTTCGCTGGCGGCGACGCCGGGGGAGGCGGTCTCTTGCGGGGAGCTTCAGAGTTCACTGGCGCCGTGCTTGTCTTACCTCACCGGCGGCGGCGAACCAAGTGAGTCGTGCTGCGGCGGTTTGAGGAGCGCGTCGGGAAGTATTCAGTCGACCCAGGACAGGCAAACGGCGTGCTACTGTATGAAATCCGCCGCCTCCTGCACCTACAACGTCCCTACAGACGCCGCCGCCAGCCTCCCCGGAAAATGCGGTGTCTCCGTCGGCATGACCATTAGCCCCAACGTTGACTGCAGCCAGTACGTTTTTCGGTGTTTCATTTAAATATAATATATATTAATAACCATTTTTAATTAATTTTCCACGTCATTTATTTTCTAATTATACTGTTTTTTTTTGGGTAATTTTGTGCTGCAGGATTTCTTAGATATGGGATTTGCATTTGATTAAAGGAATAAAAGTAAAGATTGAGAGAGAGCTTTTCTTCAGCGTGGGTTGCTTGCATATTGTGTGTGTATATATATATACTGCAGCATTTTGTTATCTTATATATAAAAGAAAGAAACGCTAGGGCATATCCAACTAATGACATTTCTGTAATTATTTATTTTTAATATTTTTCCTGTATTAATTTTCTAACTATATTTTTCAACAATTATCGAAATCGACACTGAACCGTGAAGAATTCTTCCGGCTTCAATCTCCTATTTTTCATCAATATATCTCAAATTTTAAGAGATAAAAATAGAAATTTGATTTGTTAAATCTTAACTTATTTATTTAGATTATAAATCTTACTCCGTAAAAAAACTAATGTTATATTAAATATGAATAGTACTAATTTCTTAAATTTTACTATGTTAGTGTATTATATTTATTTTATTATGTATTAAATTGATTTTTTTTCAATTTTAACATTCGAGAGAAAAAATGCTAGTATTATATTATACTAGCATTTTTCCCCGTGCGATGCACGGGATATTATTTAAATTGTGGAAAAAAAATAATCAATTTAATACATAATAAGAAAATATAGTACACTAATATAATAAAATTTAATAATGTAGTATTACTCATATTGAATTTCTAACTTTATCTCTTAAGATTTGAGATATATTGATGAAAATTAGGAGATCAATAATTGTTGAAATTATAGTTAAAAAATTAGTACATAAAAAATATTAAAATAAATAATTACATAAGTAGCAATAAGGTAGAATTCTTCACCGGTAAGTTTTAATTTTGACAATTGTTAAAAATTATAGTTAGCAATTAGTAGAGAAAAAATATTAAAAATAAATAATTACAGAAATACCATTAGAATTTTTTAGGGTTGCTCAGCGTTTCTTTCTTTTATATATGTATTATTCATAACTTTATCTCTTAAGATTTGAGATATATTGATGATAATTAGGAGATCAATAATTGTTGAAAATTATAGTTAAAAAATTAGTACATAAAAAATAATAAAAATAAATAATTACATTGTAGGGAAAAAATATTAAAAATAAATAATTACAGAAATACCATTAGGATTTTTTAGGGTTTTTCAGCGTTTCTTTCTTTTATATATGTATTATTCATAACTTTATCTCTTAAGATCCCCCGATATATTGATGAAAATTAGGAGATCAATAATTGTTGAAAATTATAGTTAAAAAATTAGTACAGAAAAAATATTAAAAATGAATAATTACATAAGTAGCAATAAGGTAGAATTCTTCAATATCACTACCAAAAAACTGGGCTTTTGTGACGGATATTTTGTGACATCCTAAATCCGTCACCAGCCGTGACCGAATGAGTGACGAATATGTGACTGGATGTAATACGGAAATTTAGAATTTTTTAATGACCAATATGTGACGAATCAGTGACGGATTTTGTGACAGTTGACTCTCAGTCACATTTCGGTCCACAAATGTTTTGACAGAAATTGATTCAGTCACAAATTGTTCACAACTTTTCTATGAATGTAACAATTTGATAAATGTTGGTCACAAATCCGTCACATACATTTCGGTCACAACGCCCGTCACCTTTTTAAGTTTTGTCCATTAGTCTCTCCCCTATGTTTATCTGGTAAGAAATCGTCATATACATTTCAGACACTATTCCGTCACATTTTATGTTTCGTCATTAATATGTAACTATGCTAATTTTCCTGTTACTTACTATGTTAATTTAAGTAAATTCACTTTAATACACCACAAATGAATAAATTGAAAATATAAATTCGATTTATTTGTGTTTTATTAATTTTTTAGTTCTACGAAATAGGAGATTGAATTTTTGAACATTTACTATGTTTTATGATAAGAAATTTATTTTATTATTAATTAATTAATTCATTTATATGTTTAATAATAAAAAATTATATTCTCAAATATTAGTTTGATATATTCTTGATTTACTGTTAGTTCTCAGATATATAAATAACTAGTAACTCACCCGTGCGATGCACGAAGATTAAATAAAAACAATAAAATGAGTTAACGTATAAAATCAACGAAGAAAAATTATGTCGAGAATGCT